ATCCAATAAAATATAACTAAATAATTGTCCAATAAAAATGCGAGTATAAAATAACTAATATTAATAAAATATATATATAAAAATCTATATTATAACAATATCATTAATAATGTTAATAAAGTATAGCCGAATATATATATATAATTCTTTACCATAAATCCTTTTTTTAAATTTTCTGGTAGTTTTCTTATAAATTCGAATTCATCACTAATCATCTGACTGGCCAAAGAATCCTTCCAAGATAGCTCTGTAATTGATATTTCATTTACACCAGATAATAAATGTTGATATAAAGAGCCCGTATCTCTTTTGAGTTTTTCTTTAAGCTCAATCATATTGTTTTTGATTTGGTTCGAGCTAAGAGACTTTTCTTTATTTATTTTAATAACCCCAAGATCATACAGTATGGAGACTCCCTCAAAAGTATCTTCAAACTAAAAAATAGATATACATTAGTTTTCAATAATAAAAATAACCATCATTAAAAAAATATATATATTATCAGTACATATGCAAAGTTATCATTTTTGTGTGGCCGTCACGCCAATGAAACTCTATGTGATACTAAATTTCTACACAACAATATAGCCCTATTATCCTCCATACAGGCAATAAATTTTTCTCATCAATAGGTTAGTAAGATAAACTACATTACTGCATAACAGTCTATAGCTTAAATATTTCTTTACTGTTGAGCAAGTGTTTATCATAAGTGGGTTAATAGAATAATTGAGCTACTTTTTGGTAAGGGATTCTAATAGCGGATCACATAATATTATCATATAATAAAATAATTTTGTAAAAAAATTAATAGCTAACCTGTGAATAAATCCTAAAAAGCTTTCGTTGACGTGAAAACCCATCTGAACATAAATTACTAATATAACTAACGACTCGGTCTACAATCATTCTTAACTCATTTTGCAAAATCCAGGGGTTTTCTTCTAAGTCTTGGTAAATAATAGAGGTGGCATTTATATGACGTTCTTTGGTATTGATCAAAAAATTGTGGATTTTGGTTTGTAAATCAGCAGACATATTGATTAGTCGAGTTCGAAGAAATAAAAGCTTTGTTATATCACAAGTTAAAATGACGAATAACCACAACACAAATATACTGTTCTTTTAAAATGTTTTCGCCCACCCATTTCTATCTCATTTAGGTCTGGGAACAGTAGATTTAGGGAATATGGAACTGGAACGATGCAATGCATAGCGAAAAAACTTTTCACAAAGAAAATGCGTATGCCACGAGTTAGTAACAATCAGCAGGTCACACGATTACATCATGCATGAAAAGTTCCATGACCTTCTAATTTATTCTTTGGTATTCATGTGATGTGTTGATCGAACATCTGTGTTACGCAATCAATTTATCTAGACATATCAGCATTTTTCCGAAACATTGTCCCGCAAATTTTTATTTTTTCTTGGCAAAAATTCAGCGCCAAAGTCACGTGATGTTACCCACATACATGTATACAGCGATAACTGTATTATTTTTATTAAATAAAAAAATATTTATCCAACCTCTTCATTTATCGATTCCATATTAGAAAATGTTTGACTATCTCTTACATCATGCATACTAACATCACTGTCGTTTTGAGACAAGGGTATTCCAGAGACAACTACTTCACGATTAGAAGCAACTTGTCTCTGATTCGTTTCTGAGGAATTATTTCGTGCTTCATCTGTGGCCTCATAAGGTGGTGGTGGTGGTTGAAGAGATGATGTTTCGATAGAGCCAGAATGACCAATATTTTGTTCAGGATTTTCCACACCAGGATTGTTTGTATTAGTGTTTATTGTATCACGGGGTGGAGGTGGAGATGCTGACCGTCTACGACTTCTTCGACGACTTCGACTATCAACAGAAGTTCTTCGGCTTCTTCGATTACCTGGCAATGTTTGATCTAATTCATGTTCAACTTCCCCAATAGATGGTGCGGGTGTATTATTCCCCCCAATTCTACGTTGTCTACGGTTGGAACTATTCATGTTGCGGATTCTATCGAAATCATCTTCAGGCCTCTCCCAGAAATGTGTACGGAATTCATTGAAATATTGTGCACCCGTTCGGCTTCTTCGTGCTCTTCGATTCCCTGCCATATAATCGCACATCAACTAATTGACATAAATTATTAGTCATAATAGCTAAAATGTAAGCAAAAAAAAATTGGAAAAAATTCTTAATATATACTTACATTGTAATCCCGAACAAGATTCATAAACTTTTCTTTACATTGGTGTCCATTAAAGCTCGTATTATGTTCTTGATTAATTATGGTTGCAATGCTATTCCAAAATCCGATTCGATTCCTTCCAAAATTATGATATTCTTCATTTCTATTTCTACGCTCATCGATGAGGATACGTATTTGAGTATCGGTCCATTCAACCATTTTATGATATTTATCCCGACAATGAATATAATGAATAGACTGTGAGAAGGTGGGATTTTGTTGCTTTTATAGCGGAGCTAGTGTCTATGACACATAAGTGTATCTTAAGTATTTTAACAGTACTTCGGCAGTACTTTAACCATACATTAACCATATATTCGTGATTATATTAAGATATATTGTATAATTTATTGCTTTTCCAACCACACTTCAACATTGTTTCAACCATGTTTTAACGGTATAAATCTATGGACGTTCATTTACCTTTTTCACGTAAAAGTAGTATAATTAACTGAATACGTATGCCTCGGATTTGCATATCTCGGATTTGTCTATCTCGGACCGGGCGATCTCAAATGGTGTCGTACATTCCTCACCGGAAAATTAAATCATATACTTGTAGAGGTGAAACCTCATTGCAATAATACACCCGAAATAGGTCCTGTTCCCCAGAGAGCTTTGTCGGATGAGATTTTTAACTATGATGCTAAACATTATGGCAAGCTAACCGTATAATTTATAACGAAATGATGTCGCACAAGATGTAATCTGCAATCTTAAATAAACATAATTCGATGTACATGACTTTTTAATCTCCCTCGTATAATATTTTCTTTACGTGTATTAATCGAGTTGTTAAGTGTAAAGAGTATAAACACCGTTAAGTAATTTTTACGCTTTTTATGGTATTATTTTTGCATACACAATATCCTACGGCCATATGGCCATAATCGTGTGGATTACCCACTAGTACAGTCCCATATGGTCGATGCTTGGGGAGAGATTGTCATATACGCCCACTATCCCTAGTGCCCTAGTGTGCCGGTCTCTTTCCAGTATATTGGATTTAATAGGTTGACTACGGCCATATGGCCATAATCGTGTGGATTACCCACTAGTACAGTCCCATATGGTCGATGCTTGGGGAGAGATTGTCATATACGCCCACTATCCTTAGTGCCCTAGTGTGCCGATCTTTTTCCAGAGACCTATTTTATCAACGCAACCATATACACTTGCGCTGATTATATTATTAAATATTGTTAATATTATTACTAATATATTTGATTATTTTTTTCCAGGATAATGGAAATATCAGAAGGAATCTCCTTTTTTTCGAACAAATTCCATTTAAGAATTGGTCTCCCTCCAAATGTCTAGAATATTTGGAAAGTAAATCCATAGATCTGAGAACATCTGACAAAGAATTATTGAAAAATGAATTCAAGAGTCATGTCTATTCATTAATGAATCACCAAGCAGTGTCGAAAAGTGCACAAAAAAAAGCCAATAAACTTTATAATGAGGTGGGCCAGTTGTTTGAATCTGAAGAGGTTATGACAATTTTTAAAAGAATGGATACGAAGGTAAATTGCTTTTATTAGTGATTATTATTTTTTATTCGGTGTATCCATGTAACATAAAACTGTTGATTTTACAGGTGATTGAAGAAAGTAAAAGGCAGTTATTAACCGTAAAAAAATCACTGTTCGATACGGAAGTTCAGCTCACTGTCGAAGATTACAAAATATATACTGCATCATCTTCGGTAATAACTGAATTCATTGATGCATTAGATAAGATATTATCCATAAATCTGATTTTCAACACATTTACAGAAATTACATGCTATAGGAACAGAAACCCCGGGTGAAGCTTCCAAACGGAAACGTGAAATAGAAGATGATCAAATGGTAGTGGTAAGTACATGTATTCTTCTTCTTGTAAATGTACAATATATTTGATAGTATTTATTTATTTCTATAGGGCCCAAATGGAAAATCACTACAAGATCTGTTTTGTGCCGAATTTCAATGCTCCGAGAATATGAAGCTAATTTGTCAATACCATAATGAATTCTACGTAAATGATTCTCTGATCGACTTGAGGCCCAATTCTAACTTTACAAAAAAACTTCCTTCAAGCCTTCTGAAACCATATCTTAAAGAGCTCGATGACAGGATTGAAGATCTGATTCCGTCAAACGTTCATAACTTCTTAACGGAGTTTTTCAAACAAAATTTATCGGATAGTGATTGGAATATTAAGATCGATGATCTACAATGTTCAGACAAAGATGACTATTTAATGGTTTCAACGGTGCGAATTTTGCGCAAGACATTGCCAACTTTGTAAGTACGAACATTTTTTTACTCTGCAAATAAGAGTTTTTTAGTTACAGCATCTGCTTAATTTTTTATAGTATTATGGCATTTTCGTTGGGACCAAGAAACCCACTCTTAAACTTGGCTACATTAGAGAAACCGCACTTAAATAATTTTGTGCATCCCTGCCTTCAGGCCTGTTTATGGTACATTTCATCAATATGCTACGAGTTTGGGGAGATAAGCACAAGAAATCACAAGCGAGAATGCGCCGACGGAGTCGGATATTTAAACACTGCCGATAAATTTCAATTAGTGTACGTGGAAGGTTCAAAGATAGACGCTGATGATGATAAAGAGATTGCGGATGCATCAAAAATATCAAATAATCTTCAAAAAATTTTTTTAAACATCGTTAAGGAAAACGTAAAGTGCAGAAGGCGACTACCTAAATCTCTTGCCATCTTTGGTGGCCAAAGTTTTCGACTTCAAATACATTTGAATTTTCTAGATTACTGTGGTATGTCATTTATAATTGATTTACATCATGAGCATATATTCTTTTTACTCATTCTAAATGATGATTCTAATATTAGGAGGAAAATTGCGTCTTAATGAAGTAGACAATGCCAATCTTCCACGTGACTTTACGGAGATGGCGGACTTTGTATTTTTTTACGAATGCATGATAAAGTGGGCTGTAAGTATTCTTGTTATTTACAATAAATGACTCGCATTAATAATACTCATAGCAAATTACGAATTTAGTTGCTGGCTCGGAAAGTCAAGGAAGGCTTTGAAGAATCAAGAGCTCAAAAAAGGCCGTCAAGACTCTCTTTCATTAATGGCTTGAATGTAACAAATGATCTATAGAAGATGCTTCACCTACTCATCTTAGTAATTGAAATTTATTGAACTGCAACCATAGTGAATAATGAAACGAAATTTATAAATTACAGTTAAATAATACTTTTATGTAAAACAAAAAATATTTACTCCCACATATGAACAATCTCATCTTCGCATATGTATAAAAATAAATCGCGAAACCATTAAAGCATTTAAAGTTTTATTTCTATTCAATAAGACCCAACTCGCGAAGGTGCTCTGGAATAACTATATATGGGTCTTCATAGTACCAAACATACCTTAAAACGATCCAATTTTCTTCGCACAATTCTTTCTTGAGTTGATCCCGTGCCTGCTGTTTGATAAGATTATTGGGATCTCCGCTATGAAAGAATTTGACATATTTTTCATGTTGTTGTCCCTGTACTTCAATAGCAAACCCATAATTCGGATAATAAATATCTAGTTCTAACCCTAATGGATGTTTAGGTGTTTTCAAGAAATTTGGTCTACGATTTTCAGATGGTGGACCAAGATACTTTGTTACAATTTCTCGACATAATTGTTCGCGTTTATATTTGGAACAATATGGGCACCACGTACCTATAATTTTTATACTCCAAAGTGATGCATTCCATAAATGTCCATTAGCACATTTCCATAATAATTTTAATCGGGTATTAATATATTCTTTAGAAAGGCATTCTCCATTCCGATTAAAAGCAATTTGTTTAGCAACTTCAATAGTATGTCGAATATTGCCTGCACAATATGGGCACCATGTACCTTTATTTTTTATTCCACTTAAAGAGGCATACCATTCATGTCCCTTAGTACAACTCCATAGTAAATCAGTTTCGAGATTTTTATATTCGATTGAAAGGCATTTCCCATTTCTACTATGTGCAATTTGTTTAGCAATTTCAAGAGTATGAGGAATTACACCGGCACAATGTGGACACCATCGCCCAGATTTTATACTACTAAGTCTTGCATACCATTCATGCCCTTTGATACAGCGCCATAATAAATTAGTGTCACAATTTTTATATTCGGTTGAAAGGCACTCGCCATTTTTATCATAAGCTATTTGTTTAGCAATTCTAAGATTAAGAGGTTTTACACGCCTGCAACCTGGACACCATGAACCGTGATTTTTTATTTTCATAAGATTGGCAATCCATTCATGTCCTTTATCACAGCGCCATAATAAAGGTGATCTATTATTAATATATTCTTCTGAGAGACATTCTCCATTTTTACTACGTGCTAATTCTTTAGCAATTGAGATATCAAATCTAGTATCAGAACAAGTAGGACATCATGTCTTACCATTTTTTATACTGTGAAACTTAGCAGTCCACTCATGTCCTTTTGCACATTTCCATCTTAATGGGGTATTACAATTAATATAATTATTAGAAAGACATTGGCCACCTCGACTCTCAGCAAATTTAGAAGCATCATATATAGAATATTTGATTTGAAATGGCATTAAGAATTAAGAATCGGAATATTTTTTAAATAAGGAATTAGATCTTTAAATATTTGACAACTAAAGAACTCGCTCAACATTACCAATTATGGGCGGTTCGGGAAGAAATGCGTCAAATTAACAATGTATAATACACATATCTATTTATCCGATTAATATATCTATTTATTTATTATATAACTTATTCATATATATATATCTTTAAAATAAAATCATCTGAGGTATTCCTGAGGGCTAGTACTTTAGACTTTTATTTATTACTATTTCGTGATGATTAATAGCTATTTTTTTCTCGATATATGTTTCATATTTTTCATGAAAATTCCATTTTTTTCTACACTGTAAAATACAATATTAGTTTCTCAATACTATATATCATGAAATTCAATAAAGCATATTCAGGTTTGATTAATAAATTACCACCATCTTTAGTTAATGAAGCTTGGACTCATTTATTATCTCGGAAGAGGAATCCAATGACAAAGGATGAAGCTAGTGCAGTGAATCCATTAGTCGAATCATTTTTAAGACATGAAGTTAATAGATATCAG